AGTTCATTAAAATAGTATTTTTTAACAATTTTGCCCATTCAAACGAAAACAGCAATTTCATATGACCAGAGTTTAAGATATCAGTAGGTTGGGTGGTATGAAATTTTAAAAAATTTATTTTTACAACTTTATCTTAACTTATTACCAGACAATGATCGACATATTAAAATGTGATACAGAAGGTGGAGAATGGCCACTGATTGAAAATTTTCTGGAAAATATTTTTGACGTAAAGCAAATGATTTTTGAAATTCACTCCCCAAAACTAAGGCCTCACCAGTTGACAAAAGAAGATTATATTCACATTATCAAATTGTTCATGCTTTTAAGAAAAAATGGTTTTCTAATTAACCATTCTTATCGCCCTATGGATTGTTGCCCTTGGTTTGCACCCTTTTTTCCTTCAGAAATACCGGATAAATGTTGTTATGAAATATATCTATACAATACAAAATACGCTAATTAGCAGCAAATTCAAGTTTTGTATATTTGTTACAGTAATGAGAATAAAAAAAACTTAACTCATTAATTTCCATTAAACTAGTAGATTTGTGATTTAGTTCTGTTGTAGTTGGGAATTTTTGAGATCGTTTGAAAATTAGAAAAATTACGTAATATTGAATTATTTTTTAATATGATTATTTTTGGAATTTGTTTTTGGTCAGGTCAGATAATGTGTTTTATTGAAATATAAACTTTTTTGAATGGTTTCATTTGAATTTGCCTATGTTTTTTGTAATAATTCATATTGTTTTAACTTAGTTCTCTGAATTTTTCAGTGTATTTTTTTTAAAGGGTGATAACTAAAACTCACTCTAAATTTAAAAGGGTAGACAAACATGGATTATATATATCTATGTAGACGAATTTAAATTACTTGGAATTGCTATGAACTCAAATTTAACATTTAAGAGACATGTAGATTGTAATCTAGTGAAATAAACAAAACCGTCCGTGACAAAAATCAAAAACCTATTAAATAAGGATAAAGAGAAGGATTTATTCATTCTCAATAATATTATAGCAAACTAATATGTCGTCGTTGTTTTCTAGCTTAATGATGCCACACTTTTCAGTGGTGCTAATGTATGCCATGTATCGATTCATAAAAAATTCTTTTAATTATTTTGTTTTTTTTTACGTTTTTTCCTCTTGAAACTGAAAATCAATTTTGACTTAAAATTAGAGTTTTTCGTAATTGCTTAATTCTTTAAAAAAAATTATCAAATGATTTAAATTATCGCAAGTTTTAAAACTTTCATTCATCTTACTATCATGGGAATAGATGGTTTTTTTAAGTTTTTTTTTAGTTTTTTTTTCATATTTAAACATGTGTATCTTGTTTTCTTGCACTGGTAACCTAAAAAATATGAAACATTTTTTAAAATCTGCACATTAATGTACAAATCTCAAACAATATTATTTCCTTAGGTACTTCCAAATATATTAACTAAGCCTAAACGCCACGGTTCACGATCATCTTCTTATTCTCGCTTTTTTAACTTGTGTTAAACACTCTTTTGTTTATCTTTTTTTAAATCTGCGTTTGCTTTTTTTAGTCCTATTCTTAGAAACTCTCTGCCTGCTTATCTAACTACTTCTCCATTACTTGCGAAATTCAGAACAGATTTCAAAACCCATTTATCTGCAAACTTCACAGAGGAGCGCTGTTGAACATCACTGAAATAACGCTTTTCGAACTTATTGATTAATTGATTGGCTGGTTGATTACTTGGTTGATTGATTGATTGATTGATTGATTGATTGATTGATTGATTGATTGATTGATTGACTGACTGACTGACTGACTGACTGACTGACTGACTGACCGACCGATCGACCGACCGACCGACTGACTGACTAATTTTTGGGAATCAGAATTTTAGGGAATAGAGAGTCATTGTTCGAAAATTGGGAATGATGGACGGAAATAAGAAAAAATGTACCTGCCTAAATTTGAAAATTAATGTTGATCAAAATGTCAGATAAATGACATGTTGATCAACATTAATTTGTTTTATGCAACACAAAATTAGAATTACTAGACAAATCTTGGACAAGATTAGATAATGGATCATTGCTATCTAATATATTTGTTCAAATGTAATATTGGTGAGTGTGGGCTGCATTCTTTATTGCAGAAAATTTCAATCTAGCAAAAAACCTACTTCTGACACCAATGTTGTAACCTTTAACGATCGTCACTACCAAAATCAGTGTTATAACTTCAAAAATCTCTGCATTTCCAGCAATTTTGTAGCTTCCAGCAATCGTCAATTTATTGTTATTCCGTAGGTTCAAGAATATGATAGATAAACAAAACTGCTTAAAAACGCAAAATTGGTTGAACGTTTATTCAAATGCCACCAGTAGTAGTAGAAACACTAAACCAATTTAAGTGACTACATAAATCACATTTACGACTTCTCTTCAAATCTCGCTTGTACACAAGAGATTTTGATAATTCAAAATACAGCAAAGATAACTAATATAACAAGATAACAATAATTAATTATATAGCGTAATTCCACCATTTTGGCGGATATAATAATAGGCTTATATATTAGCACAGCGGTCCTCAACCAGTGGTCCGCGGCGGTCCGCAAGCAAAGTGTGAAGTGCAAATTTTTTTAATAAAAAAAATGACAAAATAATATACTTGGCACGTTAAAAACCACTTGTTTATTATCATTATTGTTAGCAAGTGACATTTGTTCTTTGTAAAAGATGCAATTGAAATTGGTTTCATATTTGACATAAAAATTGATGATACGCCGTAAGATACATTATATACAAACATCAATGTAAAACGAACATTATACTTTTTAATTTGAAGTTAAAACATGTATTAAAATATATAAAAAATGATTTTAAATAACAATTTTAATACACCTATAGTCAAGTGTGATAACTGTAACTCTTTAAGTCTAATAGTTATACTAAGAACTATGTTGTGCTAACTATATGTAGCTGTTATCTCATTATATGAGATAATAATTATATATGTATGTAAATTTCCAGTGCGCTAGTAGCAAAATTTTCAGTAGTGGTCCTCGGCTGAAGTGGTCCGGTCCTTGGATCTCAAAAGGTTGGGAAGCGCTGTATTGGCAGACTTCCACACAATGCAAAGAAACATCCATAACAAATAAACTGCATAGATATATTAAATTCACACAGTAAACATTCAATACTAGCATTAAACAATATAATCAATCTTCAAGAGAATAATTCAACAGTAGAATTAAACGTTATAAACATTCGTGCGCATTTAACGCACAAGTTTTTATAAATTATTGAAATAAAATAAACTATTAAATAGTTGCAATTGAATTTATTGTTTTGTTTCCGTTCAAAAACAATGCATTACTTTAATTTTAATATTGTAACAAAAAAATCTAATAAATTATATGTTTTTTGGTTGATTGCATGTGTCCTACTTTACATGACCTGCCATCAGTTTTCTGAAAAATTTTCCCAAGTTAGTTAAACTAATTAATGTTTTTACAAATTTTTTTTTTTATAAAAATTACTGTCATATTATTTTCAGTTGTGCTCTTAACATTAATTACATTTTACTATTATACTGTCGTCAATATAAACAAAATTATTTCACTTTATTATGATAAAATTACATTTTCGAATATTTCAATAAAATTCATTTAATTTTAATTGGTCAATTTTAACTATTTTTATCGGTTTAATTAACCACAATAATGAATTAGTTTTAAATTATCGTATATACAGAACTCATTTGAGTTAATCTTAAGTCACGGAAACAAATTTGATTATTTCCAATTAATCAAATTAGGCTTGTCCGACTTAATTTTCCCATTCGACATCGTAGTCAGAACTCACGAATAAATTTTACCACATTATCGGTCAGCTAGGCACTATCCTAACATTAATGTAGCCCTTAATAGTAAACGCTAATTATTTTAACATCAATAAAAAATGTTGACAGAATTTTCTGAAAATTAGAATCGATGAAATTTTGAATTTAAAAGAATATTCTTCAAGAAAATGGCTGTTGTTGAAATCAAACTATATGGAAACTTGTCATGCTTACGCTCAGATCATGACCAATTGGACAGTTTTGTGTATAACTAGCGATACTTATAATAAAAGGTAATTAACAATTCTTTTTAAATTTATTTTTAATCGAAAGATTAGCATAGTGACTGTACCTCATCACAAGGAGTTTTTGTTCAAACACACATGATAATATCTAGCTACATTGAAAATACTAAAATTAAAAATTGAAAATTTAATTAGATTATTTATACTTCAGATTTAGCAACGAACAAATACTGCACAGAAAGATGGAAGAAATACTGAGAATGGAGATGTCGTTGTTTGAACTAAGTCTCGACTCCCTATATTATTACTTTGCGATCAAGGTGACAGCATCGATATATGTATTAAATATATCCATTGATGACAGTAGTCTCACAACAAACACGTTGTCAAACAAACACACACACATACACAGACCACACATATACAACACGCGTACATACAGACACACATCTCTTATACGAGTGCATGTGAGTGTGACTGTTTATGTGTCTAAATGGGTGCGCAAATATGTATTAATATTCCATATTAATACATTAGACTATTTTACAACAGCAAGGAGCTCATTCAATCTTCATGTTGAACTCGAAAGAAATTGAGAACCCCACACAATTCATGAAATCTCTGTCAAAGTTCAACGAAGAACATCTAACTGGAAGGTTGTATAATGCGACTCACGTTAACAATTACACAAAACAGCCATTCAACAGCTCCGTATATTACCGGATTTACTCCAAAGGGGGAATAGGACACATCAAATGATCTCATAGATTTCCACTGCATTGGTTACGATGAATTTTTACCCGCTATTTATCCACCGCCTAATTTTGAAAGTTCTAAGATAAAAACTGAAAGATGTGACAGAAGGATGCCAGATATAGTTGTCCCAGAAAATAATTTCGTTCACTACGAATTTTGATAAAACAATGTACTCCACATGCTCGTTTTGGTTCTTGCCTGTTTTTGAGCCAACATTGAAAGACAATCATGGAAATGGAGAACGATTTTACAAATGTTTTGTTCAATGGGCTCTCTGGCAATTAGACTGTTATATTTCTGTTTACTGGCAAAATTATTTAGCACATGATTTTGAAACATTAAACGTGTCATCGTATTGCCAAAAATTTATTGACAGTTTTACATCTTGTAAAAATTCGACAACTCACATAGAAAAGTGTATTTTAAAAAACGCAAAAATTTTTTTTTCCAACGATTCTATCACCAAACTGACACATTGGTTTGAGGCATTGAATTTATTGAATTTCCAACTGAAACGGTCAGATTCAACTTCAGTATGTTTGACAAATTCTTCGATGATTTTGCATCCAGTCCGGCATCATTCATTTGAAAATCATATTGAATACAATAACGCAAATTTAAACATCAGTCAATTATATTACACTAAAACATGCAGCGAAAATGTTTCTGCTTTCATGAACTTAACAAAAGTTATCAATTTGGCCAAGCCTTGGATCCAGCAACCCAATGTCTTACTCTTAATTGTTTTCAATTATCCACATTTTGAAATCATTCCATTGCTGGAGTCCATACACAGACCTCTTTATCCATACATTCTTTACTGTGGATCTGAAATGTTGAAGCGAAACCTGACATTACTTTACAGATTGAGTTTTGTTACCTATAACCAGCCTTACGGACACAACGCTGGAGCATTTAACTACCAATGCATTATGAAAGCCATCAGAATGGGCTATGATTTGGATGGAATATTTCTAATAGCTGACGACATTTTCATCAAAACTGAACTTATTAAAGTACCCACAAAAAATAACAAATTTTGTACGAGTGGTATTTTAGGCAATTTAAAATTAATGAAGCAATGTTCGTCGCTTACGAACTGTTCCAATCCAATGACGTGGATTTGGTGGGGAGGATTCCGTAGCGGTTTGCATCGTATGTTTTGGGATTGGAGCGAACTAGGCGAAAGACACCCCGATTTGAAATTAGCTCTCCAGAGGCTACAAAATGTAACAGGTGGAGAAATGAGGATGTATGGAAACACAGGAGACATTGCTTTCTTATCTAAAAAATATTTTAAAACAGCTTACAAACTTTTACATCTGTTTTTGAAGTATGGCCTATTTTTAGAAATTGCTATTCCAACCGTTTTAAACAGCGTAACAACAAATGAAGATGTTTATAACTTGGCGGGGCACATGGATTGGTCCAATAACCGTCACAATCCATATCATTTTATCAAAAATGCAACCATGTACAACAAACATTTTGCTCACCCCATGAAACTTTCATGCGTTTTGAATAAAGATAAAAAATGTTTGAAGATGTATTGTAACTGCCTCCTGCCCTACCTTCACGATCCAAAGCAAGGGCTATGTACTTCTATCTGAACTGCCTAGTATGTTGTTGGATTGTGTATTAATTATGAAAAAAGACATGTAAATATATCAAAATGCAAAGTTTAAAAGGAGTCTTCTTGGTTTTTATAAATTAACAGAACACCTTTTTTATTTCTTTTTTGTCTTATTTGGTGTTATTGGTTTGTGCAAAAACATATCTCATATTAAATTTTTATTTTCTTAAAGCAGTTTATAATACAAAGTTTTTTGTAAAAATCGTTTCGAGTTTCTTGTGCAATACGGTGCAATATTTACCATTTTATACTTTCTTATATGAAGATTCATTCCAGAAAAAACTCAGATTTCAAAGTTAAATCTCATTTTGGTAAAGTTGCGTAGCGAAAATATTAAACCTAGTGTTTTAATATAAAAAAATGTGGTATGAGGAATAAAGTGGAAAGGTATAAACACACCTCTCACAGTAAACTTATTTTATTGAAGAAATTAAACATGTGAGACCCGATGAACTTACTTACTGCTACGTCTAAAAAGAAATCGCTTTCTAGTACGAATTATTAAAATTTCATAACGCGTTACTATAATTTTTAATGGTATTTTATTTTATTGGTGTTTCTTGAAGAGTTAACTTGTCAAAACATATATGTAGATATGGATTTTTTACACTTTTTTGAGACATACATTAATGTGTAAATTTTAAAAATTATTCTATATTTTATAGGTAGCCAATGAAAGAGAACAAGATGTGGAGATATATGAGAAAAGAAAGTGGCACGAGCAACTAGACGAGCAGCAGAGTTAAAAACTTTATTTAAAGGATCGAGTGAAGAATCAATCCTAGAAAAAATCAGAAAGAACATTGTTGAGCGAGTTACAATAATCAATCCTAGAAAAAAACTAATGAAGCAACGAAAAGAAGAAGGATAGGATCGTCAAGAAAAGGCAGTAGTTTTTATTCTACGTTGGTAAAAGTGAAAACTTTTAGCAGCACTGAAAAGAAAGAGACATGCTAGAATCAAAGATAAAGCCTGCACTACAAAACTTATAAGAAACACCATGAGTTTTAGAGTCAGGTAAAATAATAAGAGGAATAATAATAGAGTGTTTAGATTTATTAAAACAAATTAATTCAAACGTAGAAGAATTAAGTTTAAGACACGTAGAGTCAGACCAAGCAATAATTAGTAAAAGACATAGAGACAGATTATGAAGAACACTATTGTGATTAGATGGAGAAAAAGAAGTATAAATATAAAAATCATCAGCACGTAGTTGACTAGTGAAAGAAAAATTATTAGTAATACGATGTAGTTCCGAAGTAGGTATAGAGTATAAAGAGAAGAGGGCCAAGGATAGAATCCTGATATAACCTAAAAGTAAGAGTAGAAAAGTTAGAAATAGAATTATTAAGATCAACAGAAAAAAATGATTACAGAATTTGATATTATTATGAAATTGACATCGTCAATGTAATTTTACTCAGAAAAATAAATAGCGATCAATCCAAGCAAAATTTATCAATGTTATAAAAACCATGTAGCTATTTGAATATAATTTGCGCCACATTGTATAGTAAAAGATTTTTGCTCTTTTAGGTTATTTAAAAAATTTTAAACAGTTGTTTGAATCTTTTTTAGACAATGACATATTCAAGCTTTTTAAAATTAATCCACTAAAAAAAAATTGAAAAAATTTAATAATTAAGAAAAAGAAAGTTTAGTTTTTTTTTGTTTAGAATGCTTTGTGGAATAAAATTTGAATGCAACAGATGTTGAGAATTATTTTTACAATATAAATTTAGTTACTTCAACAAAATTATTTACAAGCGCATAACAATTTTACATTTGTATTGCATTCACATTGATGGAACTTGGAATTTTGGCCGAGACAGATGAATATTTTTGCAGATATATATTATCCCTGAAAATCAGATCATTGTATTCAGACTTCACATCACGTCCATACTCAACTGATAACGTCGATATACAACTCTTTCTTTCTCGTGCCATATTCTTTCAGGATATTGGCGACCATCGACTTCCACAAAACCGATCTTTAACACTTTGTAGTAGTTAAAAGTTGGTGATATTCAACAAGTGATACAAGGACTACACGAATGTTATTCGTTATTGACCGCGATCTCTTTTCCCTGCAATCTTTCCAGTAGTTTTTAGATTTTCTATTCTTTCCTTCCGCATGATGTGACCAAAAATCATTAACTGCCCCCGTCGGATTATCTGTATTTAATTTCCTCTTTTCATAACCGGACTGTTTTAATACATCCTCATTCGAAGTATGAGAGGTCCAAATGATTTTCAAAATTTTTCTCAAAAACCACATCTCAGTAACGTTAATCTTTTTTCCATTACTTTATAAATTGTCCAGGACTCAGAGCCGTAAGTTAGCACAGGAAAAAATATATTAAATTAATAAGATAATATTTGTTACCTTTCTTCTTTGATTATCTACTATCAACAGTTGTTGAAACGCTTCATCGCGCAAACCTCGCATTGATAGCTTGAAAGACATACAGCTGAATGCTTATGCGAGCAGTTATTTCAATTGAAACTATTGATTTTGTTCAAAATTAAAACATACGTTCTCGGATAAACTTCAACGTGAAGAGCGATAAAAATAATGATGTTTTCAGCATTTCTACAATCACCGTCTTCATCGCAGTTACAATCCTGCTCATCACAAGGAACAGCATTCGCTACAACGGAAACACAATTTTCTTCTCAAATTCTGCCATACAAATCTGATCTATCAACTTTTGTGTCACTGTCCTTGGGAGTCACCAAATCGAGAAGGGGGCGCCCAGGTAAGTACTTTTCTTACCTTTTAAAAGACCATCTTAAACATCATTATTCTGAGGAAGAACTTTGGAACACGTGCATTGAAACATTGAGACAATATCAACAGAACGACCAACAAATTCAATTAAAGAAAAAGCTGATTGAACTACAAAAAATTCAACGTTTACTTGCTTGGAAAACTTTGCGAAAGTTAAAATCACAGAAACAGCTCACAATGTTGAAAAACGTTGCTGAAATTTTATTCGGCAAAGAACAGTCGGAAATGTACTTTCGAAATAAAAACAAACAACATCATAAACAGCGTGAACAACACTCGAATAAACTGCAGCAGAATCAACATCATTTTAAATTATGTCAAACTACATCAACGGATATCAGCTGTGGCTACGAACAAATTATTGCCGAAGGTTCAAATGAACACAACTTCAGTGATAACCGAATTACAACTTTGATGACAGGAAGTCAATGGATCTTTCAAAAAACACCGACGCCATGTTTCTCAAGAACTTAGCTTGTCATCAGGGTTGAATTTAAGAGAAGGCAGTCCCGGATATCCGCAAAAGAGGGGCCCTCACAATTTAGAAAGAAAAATCTATATCCAGATTGGCTAGCAACTTTTAGGTTTTTATACCCACGATACTTGTGCTAACATAAAATCATTGCTACATTTGTAACCGCGGTAAAACAGTCCAAATAAAATGTACTTTGCTGAAGCTTGACATTAATAATTTACAAAATTTTTAGTTGAAATATATTTTTTTTTGGCAATAAATTTTGGGTCAAGAATTAAAAAACTTCGTCGCAAATCGAATGAAAAATTCAATAAATAAATCTTAAACCCCAATTTCAATAATTAGAAATTCTTTTTAAGTAAGATTTTTCTTTTAGATCAATTAAGGTCTTAAGGACAACAACAAAAAAATGTTGACACAAAAAATCTTAAAATGACGTATATATTGGAATTCGTATATAGACTAATGCGTAGAACATCAATGTTAAAATGTGGATGGCATGGCGAAATTGAAAAAGCGATTTAGAATCTTCTAATTCAATTTTGTTCATTGTGCTCGCGCGGTTGTGTTTGTGGTTAGTTATGTTTTAAAGTAATTATTTTGAAAAAGTACTAAGTTAAATTAGATATATTATATGTTTATTGATTTCTTGAAACGCCACTTATTATTTTGATACTTTTAATTAACGGTTAACCAACAATTTGGTGAATTACAATTTCAAGTGTTGCTAGACCGAAAAGTCACATGCAAATTTCTCACGACTTTAACCGACTTACGAGTAGCCCTCACCGTAATGAAATGACAAATAAAATATTAATACTTCGTTCTTGACAAAAAAGGTGCAAAAAGACACGGAGGTTTGAGATTATCTCAAACTTGCATACCCACCAGCATCATCCACACTTTCACCGATGCACACGGCTGTTGTAAATGTAACGTAAATTTTTACTAAATAGTGAATTTGTTATAATCAATTTGAAAAAAGATTGACTTAAATAAGTTTCAATTATCCTACTTAGACTTACATTTTAATTAAAAATACAATATTAATATTCTTCTTTTTCGTGCCTTATCTTTTCAAGACATTGTTGACCATCGACTTTCACAAAACCCGATCTTTAACACTTTGTGGTACTTGAAATGTGGTGACGTTCAACAAGTGGCACAAGGACTTCACGAATGTTATTCGTTGTTGACCGCGATCTCTATTCCCTGTAATCTTTATAGTAATTGTTAGATTTTCTATTCTTTTCTTTCACATGATGTGACCAAAAAACTTTAACTGCCCCAGTCGGATTACATTGATTTGGTTAAATTAGACGTGTGAACTTTATTTTTACTGTTGAAAAAGTTAAAAGCAACAATCCTCAAAAATAAATAAAAACACCACAAACTAATGAAATGATTTGTATGGGCTATATAAGAAAAAAACTGCGGTGCTATTCTGATAGGTATCCAGGCTGCTTGCTGATAAGTTCTCGGTGGAATGAAACACGTATCCAGCCTGTCCAAGTAAATACTATTCTTTTCTTCTATTCACTCCTTCGCACTGCTCTTCCTGGTCAAGCGCAACAAAGGATGGAGTGTAGAATCAGGAAGACCACGGTGAAGCGGTTACATTTACAATAATCAATCCTAGACAAAACAAAAAGTTATTTAGAATAAAGTTTTTTTTATTAATTGGTAGTTTTTATTATTTTTGAATTTTTAGAAAAAAAAATTGAAATTTAAAAAAAAACAAAACAATCAATCATTTCAGCAGTTGATGCGGATAAATATAAGTAAGGAACTTATTTTGATGCAACCCACCCCACCTCAAGTCTAACATGTTGGAACTTTAGGAAGTTTGTATATTTGAAACTTTTCAATAGCTCGCCGAAAGTTCGCCGATGATTATGAAAATTTGGCAGGACCAGGCTCGAGGTGAGCCTGCAGGGAAATTAAAATCTCGAAACTGTTCTATCGATGGTAGAGAGAACAAAAAGAATATGAACACAGAAGAAATTTGAAAAAGTTTAAACTATTCAATAATACATGACAGCCTGAAATAAATTTGAAATAATTTGTTGAAACGTAGAATTTATGAAATATTGAAATTTATTTTATATTTTTTTGTTGAAATATCAAATACTTTTCAGTAAATTAAATTAAATGTCGAAAACAATTTCAACTTTCATTCAACAGATGCCGATAAGATTACATAGTTATAAGATGACAATACAACTGTTACGGCAGCTACTACTACTACTACTGTCACTGCTACTACTACTACTACTACTACTACTACTACTACTACTACTACTACTACTACTACTACTACTACTACTACTACTACTACTGATAATATTAATAATAATAATAATAATACTTTTACTACTACTACTACCACTACTGTTAATTATTATTTGTACTACCGTTGTTGATAATTAAATTGATTAAAGTGAATTTTCAATTAACTCCCAATTTAATTAATATGCGCAGACAGGCGTGTGCTCTGCTGGTTGGAATTAAATGTTTGCCTGTAAGTGTGTTTATGTGTTCGTTTGTTTGTATGTGTGTTTGTGTGTGTATTTGTGAGATTGTTCGTTTGTTCGTTCGTTCGTTTATTTGTTTGTTTGTGTTTACATGGGTATAGTTTGTAATTAAGCTACGTAGAGTTTAGTATTACAGTTACGTTTTGTTATTGTCTAGCACATGAGAAATTTATTGTTTGAAATTTAAGCAATTATATACAATACACATATAATTCACTTATTTTATATTATATATATATATATATATATATATATATATATATATATATATATACTCATATACAAACATATAGGCATACAAAACGTACATACAAACACACACACATACACACATACATACACGCACTGTACACACACAAACATAGATGCATT